GGCCCGGTGCCGGGACCCCCGTGGGGGCCTGTTCCCGGGCCTCGGCCCCCCGGGGCGCCGCAGGGGTCGGGGGCACGCGTTTGCCTCTCCCCACGCTGCAGGTGTTGCGTGGTTAGATGGACCCCCGTAAGTCACGCCACCCTGCTCCTGCTGGCTCTGCCGATGGTGATAATTTAGTAAGCAGTGTCCCGGTGTCAGGCCCAGCTCCTGGCTCTGCTTCCCCCCGCCCAAGCAAAACCCAGGTATCCTTGGGCCTCTGGGTAACTCGGAGTGTCAAGACAGGGCAGGGGGCAGCATTAGGTAGATTTCTGCACAAAACAAGTTGTCGACGGGGGTTTGTAAGGTCAAAGGAGAGGCCACCTCTTTATTTTGTTGTACAGCACTTAGCTAAGTAGGACTCCGGTCAACGATTTGGCCTGTGCACTTAACTGCAGTAAAAATAATAATGCTTTGTAACTGTTGACTGGTTGCTGTATGTATTGGAAGCAGGTTAACTTTTATAAAGGTAAATGACGTATGCTTTCTTCAGGTGAACCTCCACTACTGGTCTCTTCTAAGCTGGTCATCCCCTTAAGAAACCAAGGGAGAAAAGTGGTTAGGTGGGAGCACAGTTAATTCACGTACATTGCTAATGTTCACTTACCTTTTTATTCAGGACTAAATGCCGAGCAAATGGACTTCTTGAAGCGCTTGGTTTGATCACCTAAGAGAAGGAAATCTTGCTAAGGATAACCCCCAGGGAATCTGTTGGATAGCTCTGTAAGGTTGAACGCTTCCCTGATATGGAACAAAGTGGAGGTGACCAGGAATCCCAGCCAGAGAGTCACGTGGATAGCAAGAGCAACATAAAATCCTTGCCTGGCGGAGCTGCCCATGTCAAACTAGAGATAAAAAAACATGCAGTGACAGATGACTACAAACTCTCCAAACGAGTGCTAGGGTTGGGAATTAATGGCAAAGTATTGGAGTGTTTCAACAAGGAGACAGGGCAGAAATGTGCTTTAAAGGTATGTAGGCTTTTTTCTTTTTATCCTTATTTATGTTTTGGAGACCAGAGTTCACCTCTTAAATCGCCCTAAAGGCTACTTGTTATGTTGCTTAGACCTCATAAAGAGGGTTGCATGAAGGAGAATTTGAGTGTGGGGAGACATTTGCTCTTGCATACGGTATTGTAGTCCACACTTGAGTGTTTTCCAGAACGTTCTGTGCAAGTTTCGAGGAGAATGTACCAATTGTGAAATTCTCTTGTTTGCATTTAAAAAACAAAAAACAAAACAAAAGGGGGGTTGGGAGCAGGGAGAAGAGTGTTGTCTAGGTCTGTTCCCTGAGCAATTTTGCTAGGTTTTGAATGAAAATATTGCACAGTGCTTGGGAGGGAGACTATCCTAGATCTTGTGCAATGAAACAGGCCTAAACTGGGAAATATTTAAATGTTTGTTAGTCATCTGGAATCCCCCCCTTTGAGGATTTATTGAAAGGCATTGTTGATTGTCGAGGCAAACTTGACAGAGGCAATTTATCACAAATATCTGACTTTGGAGGGAGGGCTCCTTTTGGCATTTTAAGGTGCATTTCAAGTTGTTTACTGTCTTCTTCTCCTCTTTATTTTTGTCATCTATTTCCAGGAGAGTGTTACCTGGGAAAACACAGATAACGTCAGTATTGACAAATAAGTTCAGATGTTAACTGAAAACCAGTAGATATGTATGGTAATAAACATCATAAATAAATAGAGTGAAATAAACAGAGTGAAAAATATTCAGTAGTGAACGTTAAGCTTACCCACCTTTTGCTCTGCAACATTTGAACTTGAAGACTTACTTCCCTGGTGTGGGGTGGGGGGGGGGGGGGAAGAAAGCAGCTCAAATGAGAACCAGGAAGGTTCTGTATGCCTGAAAACAAGCTGAAGTTTTAGTCATGTGAGTTAACTTAGGAATGTTACCGAGCCCTTGCTGTAGTTAATCTGATTAGCTTTTGGATATTCTTGTGTTTCTTAAACCTTAAACTTCGCATGTGTTGACAGAAGAACCAGTCTTCTAATGGGTCGACTGGAAGATCTGCCAAGGTCTGGACTCTCCCCAGCAAGGTTCTTGTACTTTGATACAGCAGACTGGAAATGTCTGGTAGCTTTGTATATTAAAAAGATTTTTAAGGAATGAACTAGAAAAGCATATAGTACAATGACCGGGCTGATTAATTTGCACATTTTTGACGCTCTCATTTTTTTATATCCCACTGTTTTTGTGTGTTAACTGCACGTAGCTGACTCGTAACAGTTTGTCATGGGGAAACTGGAAGTTTTAGAAAGCAGATTGGGAGTACTGGGGTTTTGTGCTTGCACAGGGGTATGCCAGGTCATTTACAGCTCTGAGGTGAGTCTATTAATTGGATGCTTCTGTGAAAACAGCCAGGAGCAAGTGAGTTAATTTGATGTGCTCTCAACACTAATTGCCATACTTGGCACACTGTGATGAAGTTAATACTGAAGTTCTTCCACTGTTTCTGAAGGCTTCCGCAGGTTCATTGTTGATTTATGTACCATTCCTATTGTAAAGGTTTTATTTGCAGCCATAAGGCCTGGAAGCTTTTTAAAATCTAAGTTACCACTCTAGAGCGCAGTCCAGTGGCAATGGATGTGTTCCGGAGCAAATTCTGTAGCTCTGGAATCAAATAGAAAACACATTCCTGTGGATGCTAGCACCTGTAAAATACAGTTCTAGCTCAGTGCTCAGCGTTGAGGAGGGAGGATAAGAGAACTGAAGTTGCTGTACCCTGACAGAATGTCCTCCCTTTGATGGAGAAGAGGAACCTATAGCAGATTGTCTAATACCAGCATTGAAATATTTCTGTTTACCACTGATGAGTTAACTGTTTTTTTCAGAACTTTTAAAATGTATTAGAGGTGGAAAAAAAAAAAAAAAACCCTCCCAAACTGTAGTTTGGTCAGTGATAACTAGTATATCACTGAAAGAGCCTTATATATGTCTTCCCCTCTCTGCCCTCCCTCCTCCACCGCAGAATACGCACACTTGCGGGAACGCTACTGTTTCCTTCTGAAATGGCCAGAAATATTAAGATGTTTATGACTTCTGTAGGGAGTTTAAATGGCAGATAATAATTTGCTGCTTGTGTGTTTGTATTCCTTGTCGTTATGCGTTTAAGTGCAGAATAAAAAGTTAAATATGCAATTAAATAAAACTGCCAGCAGCCCAGAGACAATCTGCTGTTCTCTCCAAAGATGATCTAATGAGAAGATTATCCAACAAGGAAGGATAAAAATTGCGTTAGGTTAGTTGTCAAGAATAGAAAGATCTTTTCCTAGCCCTTAAGATGTTTGCAAGGATGAAAATGTTCAGAGGAAGTTCCCATTGTTTCTTGGGAAGCCTGAACTGTGCCATGTAAGTCTCTAGCCAGCGCCAGATGGGACTTGAGAGCAAACCATCCACATAAAAGTTACGGAAAAAATGCAGGAAACTTTGAAAAATTGACTCAGAAACAGCTTCAGTACACGTGTATCTGTGTAGGGACAATAGGCCCCAGCATTTCTGCCTTGCCATCACTCACACTTCCTAGGTGTAATGGGCTGGGGTTATCCTGCAAGTACAAGAATAGAAAGTGGAAGGTGATGAAGCTGTCACAGAAAGGCCTCTGGTCTGACAGGTAAAGAGAAGAGAAACATAAAGATTGAATTGTAAGTAGAACGGGGGAAAAAAGGAATGCTAGATGGATTTTTCTAGAGATTGCTTGTGCAATATGCATTGATATCTATATATATATATATATGTGTGTGTGTGTGTGTGGAGAAGTGCTTCAAGTGTGAGCAGTATGCTCACTGTAACCGGCTCCTGGAAAAAGAGAAACGCCAGTCCTGCTGTGGAAGGTAAGATATAATAGTCTGTTCCCCTTTACACCAAATTTACCCATTAAAGCAGCTTCTGACTTGGCAGATGGCACTACTTCCTGCCTGCAGGTTTTCTTTTATGTGGGAACAAAGCCAATACAGCCAGGATCTGGATAGAAATTACTCAGTGGAAGGAATTTTAACTGAGGTACTCTTGAGGAAAGGGCTTGAACGGGCAGAAACATTCATCCTTAGAGCAGTGTGTCAGTCAAGCACTGCATACTGTAACTGGGAGGTCCCTGTTCTCTCCTTTAGTCTATGTCTGTAGTTGGAACTAGTTAGAATTTCACTAATCATTTTAGAGTAGGAAAAGATAAGACATCCTCTCAAAGATCCTGCAGGGGCTCTAGCAGGAGCTTTGGTTATTTTTCCTGAAGTATTATGTGGCTTAGTTTACTCTGCTTGGCATTGTAATTTGCTACACTTTTTAAAATGTGCTGTCAGCTTTGTTTCCGTTAGACTGAAATGCCACACACACTGCTTTCCTAGTCCAGAAAATCTAATCTGGTTACTCACTTAGAGGCATAATGACATTTTGGCTGAACAGCACTGTTTCCAAATAGTGAGAAGGCATGGATTTAGAAGGGTGGAAGTGAAAACAAAATTGGTCTATAGGACTGTGGCCTTCTATGAAGCAACTATATTTTGGTCTCTCTATCTCTTGCAAATAGAAAACCTCAGATCTCTTTCCGTAGTTGATCCAGAAATAGCTGTCAAGTGACGTTGTAGTCACTTCTATTTTTATCTTGTGCTCGGTAGGCTGCCCCCTTCTGTTCACTTTACCTTTTGGGGCTAAAATTTAACCTCTGCTCTTTCAACGCTGTCATCAGGCTGAATGTTCTCTGCTGTTTTTTCACACTCCACCCTCGTTTTAGGGAGAGAAGGAAACTGAAATAGCTGACTACCTGTGAGGATAAATGTGGACTCCTGCAACTTGCTTTCCCATAAAAAGCCTACAGTTCTCTTTCTTTCCATTTCTCTTCCTTTGCTACCTTTTTCTTTTTTTTTTTTGGTACAAATTCCTGTTAAATGGCATTAAAATAATGTTTCAGTGTACTTGATGGCCCACCTTATTTTTATGAATGGTAGTAGAAGGGGTTCAGTTAGAGGTGGGATCAGGCAAGAAGAGAAGAATAGAGAGCTTTCTGTTGCTGGGGTACTGGGACTCTTCTGCATCTGCAGGTCCAGGATTTGAGTGGATCTTTCAGGCAGAGGATGTAAAAACAGTGTTACGTGTCCTTGGTGTGCTACTCACCTTACGTACACAGATGTTGCTTCCTTTCCAGAGGTAGGAAAGGAAGGACAATTCAGAGATGGCAGCAAAGCAAAGATTGCTGAAACTTCAGAAAAATGAAGTACATTGATTTATGAGTGTTTTGGTACTTTTGATGAGAAAACTTTGCTGAATTACAATATAGCAGTCATAAAAGTGCTTCTTCCCTAAGCACCTGTAGGTACACACGATATACTGTGGCTGCTTTTTGGTCATCAAAGGCTGAGTATGTGTGAGTGGACTTGCTAATTCATAGTCCTATACCCTAGAATAAATATTGAGTTAAGCTGTGACCTGCCTTGTGGAAAATGTCCTGTGCTGCTAAGTGCCAGCAATAGAGCCAGCAGTAGTTTGCTGATTTGAAGGCAAATAGGTAAAGCCCACATGTAAATAAAGCAAAAAGCAAAGACAAAAATGAATAGGTTCCTGCCTTTTAGATTTAAGGATCTTTTGGTGAATGGTGTAAAAGATAATAATAGAGTAGGAGGCTGTACTATTATTCACAAGGGTATTACCATAACGTTGTGCTCAGAAGGAGGGAAAGCATATAATAGAGAAATTTTGCAAAAAATCGTTCCACAAAATGGCTCTTGGAAACTGCACATAGGACCAGATAGAGAGTGTAGTTCTGCTTTCCGAAGTGGAACCACTGTGGAGAAAAATTAATTCTACATCCCCTTAATTTCATTTAGTCTTGAGCTGTGTTTCTGTGTCTCACTCAATTTTCACGTTTCTGATTAAATTAAATATTACGACTTTGTATATGCTAATTGCTGGATAGTCTGTCTTCGGTTAGTATGCTGTGAAGTCAGATCCTGGCTGCTTACGAACAG